AGCCTGAGTCTCTGTCTTCAAGGAGCTCCCAGTGTGGCTACTGGAAGGAAAAAAGGCTGAGCACTGCTTGCCCGAAGGCAGAGTCCAGGACATAACACAGTCCAATAAAATCCCACAGCTTCAACCACTACCGGCTTCTTATTTCCATAACTGGGACTCCCAACACACTGGGTGCCCAGACTGCAATACAGACCCTTCCTGCCCACTAAAAGCTGCTCAGCCATGCCGGGATCTGTCCCCATCCCCGTGGGGAGGCCGCAAGGCTTCTTTCTCCAGTCCCCACTAGGGCCTTCACCTAGGATACACACACACACACACACACACACAGAGAGAGCCCTCCACTCGCTGAGAGGAAAGCTGTGGCGAAGACCATAGACCTTGGGGACCTCGGTGCTCCTATGTCTTAGGAGGCCCCCCTGTGCCAAGCTCGCAGACAGATCACAGAGGGGAGCAGGAGAACTGCGGGTGTCTAGAGAGGCCTGACCTACAGGGTCTCAGAGAATTCGGAATGGCTGAACTAGGTTTTGAAGGATAAGCAGAAGTCAGGTGAGCAGGAGGGCCTGATGGCAGAGTCAGGAGTCACACTCTCTTCTCAGGGTTATGTGGCAGGGAAGCCCCAGACGCTCCTGTGTCACACTTACCATGTACCTATCACACACATGTCCCTTTGTAATAAACAAAGGGAAGCTTTTTGATGATGGGACAGAGCACCAGCACACAGGCCCCGCCAACTTGGTGTTAGGCCAGGAGGAGGGCATGGGAACGAGTTCAGCAGCCCAGGTGCCAAGAGTCCAGGAGGCCTTATCAGTGCCACCGTGTTTCCTCTCACCACATCCTCAGCTCAGCCAGATAGGAGTGGAGCTGAAGTGCCCCAGAAATAACAATCCAGGGCAGAACAGGGCAAGTCAGAGAGAGGAGCTGGTGGCAGAAAAAAATCTCCTTCTGACAACATCCAGTTAGGCCTCTCTGAGCCTGGGCTGTGAATCATGCCAGAAGCCACGCCCTGAGGGAAGGCAGGAGGCTCACCAGACACGAATGAGTGACTCTAGGTGACCGGGTTCAACAGGGGCTTCCTTTGACCCGGATGTTATGGAGGACAGAGGTGCCCCTCCCCCAGCGTCTTGGCTGTAGCCTTTCTCACAGCCCAGAGCATGGACAGAGTCTGTAGCTGGCCCACTCCCTGCTGTTACAGGCATCCTGCCCAGCCCTCTCTGCTCCTCTCCCTGGCCAGGAAACAGCCAGGAGACAGGCAAGCCTACTAACATGCATATGTGCCTCTGTACAGCTGTGCTGCACGGCCACCAAACCCACAGGGGCAAAAGGCCCACTGGGGCCAGGTTTGTTTGAACTAAGAG